GCTTGACCTTATTTTTGGGGAGGTCTTATTATTTTTAAGGTGCAGGTGGCAGCGAGTGTGGTGACCTCATGGCTGCTGCTGTGTTGCAATATTTTTGGGCATGCGTTTAAAAGCCCAGTTAGGCTTATTATCCAGGGAGGTCTTATGCAGTGCATGTCTTATTTCCCTGTCCCGTTTTCTGTACTTTAGTGCACAATGCTTATGCACCTCCTTCTCCCTGTAATCTAATCAGATAGGCAAAATACCTATGTATTACTTCTAAATATCCCACCAGAAATTATCAGGAATATAGAAAAGTTCTGCTTGATCACCATTGCTCTCAAACAGATACTGGAGCTTATCACCATTTTGGTGAGAGGTTATCCACAGCAGCTTAGCATTCTGTCATTAATTTGCCTTGCTATTTGTTTTATATTGTGCAGCATATGATTGTTCTGCTTTTCAGTTGGTCTCTGTTTCCAAGTCCATAAAACAGAGTAGAAATTAGGATTTGATATGTTTTATCTATGTACTGGTGCAATTCATCTGTGTAGAGTTTATTTCAAAACAGGAAAACAGGTTATCCTTGCAACTTTTTTTTATATGGTTGAATGGATGCCGTCAACTAAGTCTTTATATTTTATCAGTTGCACTTGCTGCTCCTTTTCCTGTAGAGAGTTTACCTTCAAATTGCAACCAAATGGTCAGCCTGCTATGATAAGGCAGGATCAAATGAAGCCTCAACCAAGTTCAAACAAAGCCAGCAAGCATCTCTCTCTTCCTTACATACTTCCATACTATTCTGCATTCTCATCCATACTATGATTTGATGAATCAGTACTGACAGTAGCTGGAAGGGATATGAGGGGACAAGAATTCGTGATTGATGCCTATTGCTAGGGTTAATAAGTGCAGAACAAAATACATACAAAGAGAATTTCAAATTTGTGGCTACAGAAAGGGATGTACAGGCCCCATGTACATGTAATCCTATCTGACTCTGGAATGTAATTGTGTAATGTAATCCAAAATAGTTCTTTTGTCTATTTCAATAATTTTACCTTTTGTTCATTATCTAGGTATGGGAACATCTAAAAAATTAGCAAAGCGACATGCTGCCGAGAAATTACTTGAAAAATTCCGCAATTTTTGTCAGGATAATATCACAATTTCTTTAGTAAGTAATTCATTAAATTTAATGGGAAGTACCTGCTTCACCACTGAACTTTATTAATGTCTTCTTCATTCCTAATAATAATAATCTTCTGTCCCCATTTCTCTGTTCCTAATATGTGAAGGATGACATTTTTATACGAAGTAGTTTGGGAATAACTTCTCCTGGTATCTTTAAAAATGTATTTATTTTTCCCCAATTTTTTTTCAGCAGTGTTTATTACACTAGTATTGATTATAATGATTATGATGATNGCTGCTCTCTTGTGAGCGGGCTCCCGAAGAGCTGGGCACAGCCTCAGAGTCGAATGGCTGTGTTGTGCTGTCGCAGCAGCAACACAGCAGCCATAAGGTGACCAGGTTTGCGAGCAGCTACCCGGCAACCCCCCTTCCCAGCCGGGCACAGTGCCGCTGACCGATCTAGCGGTACCCAGAAGGCACCAAGCAACACAAGCACCTGTTCGCCGCACTCCACCTCCCACGGCTCGGCGCCTTCGGAATGCCCCTAGGTGAGTGAAGGGGACTCTGCATGGCTGGAGAGGGGGGTTGCGCGAGCGGCTTTTCTGCTCTCCACTCGCGCAACTCGCAGGCTCATGATGCCCTTGGCTAACTCTACAGTACCTGCAGAGCCAGGGCACCGCCCGCCGCTTGGGTTTTTTTTCAGCTTTCAAAGCACGGACAGATGCTGCTCTGAGAGAGTTAGTACTGTAGAGTTAGCCAAAGGCATCGTGAGCAGGGAGCGGAAAAGCCGCTCGTGCAACCCCCCCTCTCCAGCCATGCAGAGTCCCCTTCGTACCGGCGGAGTACGGCGAACAGGTGCTCGTGTTGCCTTGGTGCCTTCCGGGTACCGCTAGATCAGTCAGCGGCGCTGTGCCCGGCTGGAAAAGGGGGTTGCCAGGTGGCTGCTCGCAAGTGTGGTCACCTCATGGTTGTCGTGTTGCTGCTGCTGTGACAGCGCAGCACAGCCATTCAACCCTGAGGCTGTGCCTGGCTCTTCAGGAGCCCGGTCGCAAGGGAGCAGCTGCCCGGCAACCCAAAAACAATAAGCCCTCCCCTTTAATAAGCCCAAGGCCCTATTTCATGGGTCAAAATAGTATAAGACCCTGTCGTATTTTTGGGGAAACACGGTATCTCATCTATAGAATTAGTTCTACTGTGTTTTTGTCCCTTGGTCAATTGCATGTTTTGAAGCTGGAAGAAGAGGGAAGGGTTGAGGGAGAGATTGCAGGCACGTTTCCTATTATATGAAA